TCAGTTCATATTTGTTCTTTGAGATCTGATTTTGTCCACAGAAAATGAAGAACATAAACTGTGAATGCATTTTCTGGTGCTCAGTTTTTCAGCTGTTGACAATTCTAGGTTTTTACCTGTTAATAAACTGTGTCAAGTATATATTTAAATACATGTAATTGGAGATCAGGAAGATTCCTTTTAATCTTTCTTACCTTCATTGCCAAGTGTAATGCTTCAGTGTTAGTGACATGCATATTGCTGTTGAAATCAGCAGAGTAGAAAGAATCAAACCAAGGAGACACCACTCTTCACATCCCAGGATGTTCTGCTTTATTAAAAGAGAATCTTGGAGAAGCAGGTTTAACTGAGAATTGACAGTGCTGTAGCAAAACTGCCAAAACCTTTACTTTTACACAACATTTAACATGACCTTTTTTACTGTATGGTAGAGGAGCTGATATCTGAGATTGAATACTACCACAGCACCAAAAGTTGGGTAGGAATACTAAGCTGTGTGTACTTATTCCATTTTCAGATTGCCATGCTGTCATGGTATAATCATCTTTCTTATCCTCAGTCCAATTCTCTCTGATCATATTCTTCCAGATATTCCTCAGGTGGAGGGGGTTTAATGTATAACACAAGCTTACTTACTTCAAGTGACTTGAATTTACCCGCTATTTTGATTTAGCAGAGTGGTAGAGCAATGAATCGAAATCAGAGCAAAAGTATAAATTACACAAAGCAGCGTAGCAACTGCAATATACAGCTGAATCACAATACAAATGTAAATTTCATTACATATCTCTAAAATATTGTCACCAACAAGATGTTGCACATCCCCAATTGGCAGGAAGGAGTGAGTTAATACCAACTTGACTCTAGTACTTTTCTCAAAGTTTTTTTCTTTTTTTTTTTTTGTTCTGTTTGATTTTCATACTTTTATGCTGGGCTGAGCCATCTATATTTTCCTATACTGGTCTGACTAACTCAGGAAGACATGTTTGCATTCCTTTCATTAATTCAGGGACAAACAGTTACACAGCCAGTTGATTTTCTCAGCCGATGTAGCTGAGAAATAATAAATAATAAACACTGCCCTCTGGCTCCCTGAGTGTTAGGAGTTTTCCTTTGTACTAGCTGTTGTCAGTCACCTTTTCCCTGAACTTTATGAGGACATTGCCCTTGCCCATCTCCTCAAAGCCATCTTCCACTGTAGTGGTTCACTGGTTCAACGTATTTTTTCTCAAACTCCAGGTGCAATAGACCCTGACCTCCTTCACTTCCAGCATAGAGGTTTCCATCTTCTTCCAGCTGCTGTCTTTACTATCAGGTCACAAACACCTGTTACAATAGTTTTGTCCAGTAACGAGTAAGTAAATTCATATTGTGAGCAACTGAAGTAAATAGGGAACCAGATCTGGGATCTTGAAATTAGTAGAATTAGGCTCCCTCCTTTTTCAGGTATCTATTGTACAGCATTTAGCACAATGCAGCTAGAGTGACTGAAATCTTTGGTCTGATCCCTAATCAGAAATAACAACGATGAAATTATCAAGTGTAAATATAAAAAATGAGAGTCTCTTTAAGCTTTTCCAGTTGGGGCAAATTGTTGATTTCATACATTGCAGCTATGTTTGCCTGGAGTTCCAACTCTCACAGCTTCCCGCAAGCTTGTAGCAGGATCTGTGCAGGGAGAAAAAGCAATGGTAAATGTTGCATGAAACTATACCTGCTATCTGCTCATCCTTTATGCCACAGAATGCAGTGACCATCCACATCATCAGCATTTGATGCATGCTTGGTGCAGTATCATTTTATAGGTGGGGGACAAAGTTTGCCTCCAGTCTCCCCATACACTCCCAGATGGACACAGAGGTTCGGGATTCATGCTTTTGTGTTGTTTAGTGGATAGGTGTCATGGAACATTATGCTGTCTCCTGTTACCAAGGAAACTTGGGATACAGATTTTAGAAACTGCCTAGGAAAGAATTAATGAGCAGTTAACTTAGTTTCAGATCTCGCTGAGCGAAACTATTTGTGTGAAAAATGAGAGTTCATCCACACCAAAAACCTTTAGCAAAACCTCGATTAAGGTTCTTTTTCAGGGTTACCTAACTGATTGTTTTGAAAAATATTCCCCTAAATTGTAGTATTTTATTTCATATTTTTCTAATGCATTGAACCTTAGAAATGTTAAAACCAAAAATATTTTCACTGAAGGAAGGCTTTAAAAAAATAAGGCTGAGAAGAACCATGTTGTCTTCTAGTCCATTTCTTTACCCCAGGAGAGGAGCTGTTATAGCTGAACAGTTTTTGTCTGATGCTAGTCTAACCAGCTCTTGAAAATATAGATTCCTCCACTTGGACACCTTAATTCCTTCTTTATGCTGTCAGTGATAGGTTTCTCTAATGTAAACCTCCATTGTTGCATTTTATGCACATCACTTCCACCGTATTCCCAATGAGTATGGAAGACAATTTATTACCATCTTTGCCAGAGTAATGTCTTATATGTGTGACTTGTGCTCCTTTGTCTTCATTTTTCCATTCAAGAGAGAATAATTATCTCCAAATTTCCTTTGATTTCAATTCAGTCTATCCTCACAACGTCACTATATACAAACTGCTACTCTTGGTGCAACCTTTGCTGAGAGCTGAGGGAATATTCTAGATTCCTTTTTGTGGAAAGGAAAAGCCAAGCATCCAGTCCAATAGGGTGCATTGCAAACCCAAAAAAGAAAATTCAAGAAAGTTCCATAACAGACTGAATTAATGAAGAATACTTTTCAAATATCCTGATTATGTCAGGATAGCATTATCACAGGTAAATGTGATTCTTTCTGCTTCTTGTATCTACATTGAGTGGATTATTTTTATTTGCTCTTCATTTTTATTGTTACCTGCTTTCAGTTAGCATCTTCTTTTTGAAAACTCATTTGTACATCAGAGCATATAGTTATGTGGAAACATTATCCTTCATCATTACAGCTCAATTATAAGTGGGATGTTTGTTCTCGAACAAATCATATTGAAGAAAATATTACCAGGAGTTAAAACATAACTAAGTATATTTGCACTTGAGGTACATGTTCTACAGTCTCTCTTTTTGCAGAATAAAAGATGGCTTACTTTTCCAAATGTTGCTATTAATAATAGCTTTCTGAAGTTGCCTTTAAAAATAATGTTGTGAACTTCTTTGCAGGAAGGAGTTTATAGCAAATTAAGAAAACCCCATAAGAAGTCAGTTATTTAATTTCAGCAACGTATAAAACAATGACAGGTTTGCAAACCACAGCTTTGTTTTCCTATGTAGATTCTGAGATGTGCACCACTGCAGGCATGGGTAGAAGCCTCTTACAGTTGGAGACAAATTCTTTCAACAGACTCCCTGGGTTATTAGAGAATCTCCAAGTCTATCTCATTATTCCCAAGACTTAAGCTCACTAGTCTGCTATGTGTTAATTACTACTGAGAACTAGTATTTTTCCACCCTGAATTGCACATGTAGGAGCACTGCTCTACACTTCTAGTTTGATGAAGAAAATAATTTGTTCAGCTATTGCCAAGGAGACATTATCAGAGAAAGAACCCCTTTTTAGTTGTGCCAGCTTTAGTCAACACAAAATGACTAGTCCAAGTCAAGGAAAGCAAACTTTTCTTGTCCTTTTCAAGTTCCTGTCCTTGCCATGCCATATATCAGTGACAAACAGTATCAGCTTCACCATAAAAGGAGCATGGTCTGCTCATCCAGGATGCACAAAGGTATAAAATATCCACACCAATCCTCTTCAAAAGGAGGGAATAGACCCTAGAGCTGTAGTACAGCAGGAATGTTGTTCTTTCCTTGAATTCTGTCTGCCATATGTAGTAGGGTATGGCGTACTAGAAGAAAATTATTAAATGGGCACTTGACAATCATGGAAGCTCTTCAGAATATTCTGATATCTGCTTGAGTTGTACTGATACTCAAGCACAGTTTAACAACCTAAAAGAAATTACAGTTTTAAAAAGTGAAGTGGATAATTTTCTGAAATAAAGGGAGAAAAAAAATGAGATTGGGAAAATATCATGGAAGCTCAAAAAGCCCTGTCTGTCTGTTTGGCAAAACTTATGTGACTGGAGTTTATTACTCATATTCTTGAAGGTCTGCACTGCCCAGGGATTTCTGGTTCACTTGCTTCTTCTTGAACTGGCACACATCACCTGTTTAAAGCAGCTATTGGAAAGCAAACCAAACCTGTGACATTTAGCAGCAATAAGAATTTGTTCTCATGGTGGGAGGAACTAGACAAAAAAGCGTTTTCCTTAGTCAGTCATATGGGACCCACACCCTTCTCCGTTGCTCAATCTGAGAGCCCTTTTTTTGCCAAGAATGTCATTTGAACTAAGTTTCTTTTCAATTCAGAAGCAAGAAAAATAAAAATTGAATTAAATGTGAGAAACATAATTTTCACGTTAACTGCACTGTCCATTGCTGACTATTAAGCATCAGTTTAATTTTCATTGGTCAATGAAACTGAGAGACTGTGCTGAATAAAATTAGCTGGCTGTGTTCCAGTAGCAATGTCCTTTCACTTTATATTTGTATATGGTAAGGCAGAATGCAAGTTTATACTGTGTAAATATTTATTTCATTCAAGTTACGGTCTGATCTATAAATTAGTGAATATATCTTTTCACCTCTGTTTTGTAGTCAACTTGTGTACTGTTTTACACTGTGAACATACTCCATTGGTCATTTTTCTACTGAATTAAAATTAAAATAATCTGCAATCATTTATCCACATAACCTGCTGACCCATTCTAAAGAGAAAGTATGCAGCAAGGCTTTCTCAGTAAATTGGGATCATCTCTGACAGGACCCTCTGTACCTTGCATGCATTTGGGTTGTAGTCTCATAGAGGTCTATGACACCATGTATTACTGTTTAAACTGCTCATAGTTTCAATTAAACAAGGTTTCATCCATTTTGTCAACTGCAGTTATATCTTATTCTTGGTTATTTTTTCACACAGTTCCCTGTGAAGAAAGAATGAAGTGGTATCAGCAGTTTTCATACGCATGTATTTACTTTTTGTGGACACCCATTTTTCCCATTTCTTAAAGTTCCCATAATAATATAAACATCTCAGAGTATTAGAGTGAAATACTCAGAGTATTAGGGTGCAATGGAAAGAACTAAAGTTATGAAACATCCCCTAAAATTAAAGAACTAATAGGTTTTTTTGAGCCCTGAAGATATATACATTAACCTCTGAGGAGAAGATCAGTCTTTCCCTCTGAAGTTGAGAGAAAACCTTTCTTCATCTTTAAAAACTGAATGGTGCTTTTCACCATAATATTCTGAAATGTATACATGTATATTGTTAGTGCTATGTGGCTAGCTTGCATTCCAGAATTGTGCATTTTTTTACTGCACAGTAAATTTAAGGCAAACTAACCTGTTTAGAGCCTGCAGTGTAAAAAATATATAATTATTTACATTCCACATTTGCATTAATTGCTAACAAACAAACTGTTCTTTGAAGTACAAGGTCAGGCTAATGGTGAAACTAGTTAGGTATCTAATTGTGCATATCGTTTTGCAGATACACTTCAGCAGCATAGTATAGTCTAAATATATATCATTTATCTCTGTGTAAATTCTTAAACCATTGTGAAAATATTGCTGTGTAATGATTTAATTCACTATAATTATTATGTATCTATTTACAATCTTATTTTGTCTGCATCTAATATATAAAGACACAAATTCGAAGTCAAATGGAATGAAAGAAGATAATCTTTTCATGGCTCCCAGGTTGGCACCTCTTCCAGTAAATAAATAAATAAATAACACAAAGTAGTAACAACATTTTATTTTTTATGTAAGTAGCAAGAAAAACTCAAAACTCATATTCAGTTCCTTGTATCTGCACCTGCAATCTACACTTGGGGAACCCTAGTGACTTCTATAAACGTTGGTTAGCAGGTGAAAGCATTTAAAAGTCTTGAAAAAGCAACAGAAATCTGGCAGTCACCCTGTCCCATGATGTGTGAGTGAAAACATTATTAAGGTTATTTTCTTAATGAAAGAAACAGTTTCAGTGTTCACTGTACATACCAACAGTAAACCAATTTAAAAATTTCATGACTATCAAGAATGACTACTCACAGAAAGAGGAAATTCTGGAAGAGAGAAAAGAAAACCTTGGTTCAATTCACACACACACACAAATATATATATATATATATATATAAAATTTGGAAAATATATAATGATAATAGCAATAATAATGTTGGAGAGATTTGAGTCTCATTCCTCTTTCCTCTTAGTAAATTCTTATCCTGGAGCAGATATTCATGATAGCAAAAAAAATAAACAGGTAATTTTTCTGCCTACTATAACCTTAAACTTGATGCAGAGGCAGAAAGGAAACAAAGGAATCAAGTGTCTAAGTGACCTCTGAAATAAGGTCTTAAAAGCAAAGTTACAGTGCATTGCACTGGAGGTAATAGCAGCAAAATCTCTTGTTGGTTGGTTTGTTTGTTTGTTTGTTTAGCAATTCCATTAAGTGCTAGTCAAACACTTGCCTGTCCAATTGATCTGTGTTTTTCTCATCTTTGTGCTTATCGTACCAAGCTACTAGTTGTCAAAGCCAGCAAAAGCACAAGGCTCTTAGTGGAAAACACTTGCTCCAGAACAAGGAGGGTGGGAATGAAGAAAGCCAAGTCAAGCTTCAGGGATTTATTCTGGTAGTGGCCTGTGGCAGCATATGAGTTTAATAGAAGCTTAACTGAACCCTTCTTGAGGAAAGAAAGGAAATTCTGGTGAAAGCCTGGAACTGTAAGAGGTTATCAGGGACAGTTGAGGAAATGTTATGCCACAAACCTTGCTCATTACTAACAACATGAAACACAGAACATGCTGCAGGATGAACCAAAGTAGTATTCTCTCTACTGATTTTATTCAGTCTGAGTGGCTTTGTACATATCAGAGCTGATCCCTCCTAAATGAACAGTGCCACAGGTGGTGTGTGCTGTTCATAGCTTTCCAGAAAAGGAGGGGTTACCATACGTGCAGAATAATATTTGGAAAAGAATTATGCTCCCAGCAGTCAGCGGGTTATCTTTACACTAAGAATACTTTTACCAGTAATGATATCCCTAGGACCAAGAGTCATTTGTTGTCCTAAAAACTGGAGATTATAGGTACTTCTGCCGCAAGAAAGCTCCTTCCCCACGCAGGCATGCAGATACAGGAAAGGCATAATAGCACGGTGATAAAAATCTTGAGGTGATACAATGGAATGAGGAAGTTAGAACAGTTTGTCTTAGTTCTGTCATCCAACAATACTTCATAACCCAAAGGACATGGTTTTAATCAGTGGGTCTGAAATGTAAATGAAGCAAATTCTGACAGCCTTTGATCAAAGGCAAAGAGAAGGATGGAAAGCTTCTCAGATAAGTCTCTAAGGGAGCAGTCAGAGTTAGTCAGATAAACAGAACAAAAGTAAAATATATTCACACCCCAAATTTGACTAAATTTAGCTCTGACAAAAGAACCCAGAGGTAGCCTTAAGCCAATGTAATTAACTGGTTAAGAAAGTAGCAGTGGGCTAATACTTTTTGGTGGCAGACTTTCTGCCCACTGAGAACCTGTCTGATAAGGTGTGGGCTACAGAGATGACACCATCAAAGGGATTTTGAACCCTTTGATGGGTGCCGAGAGACACAGTTTCTAAATGGGTATTCAGTTACTTACTGATTGGTAATTCAGAAGAATCAGGTTAATACTTCCAGCTCTGAAAACTCTGAATTAGAGATGGCTGACTTAAGATTCATTAAAAAAGCAATCAGCTGGAGTCAGACTTTGGAGCTCTTTGGTTTTTGCGGAAAGGAAGAAAAGACGTGTTAAGATGTAAGTCCCATAACAGTTTTCTTTCCAGCAGTGGACAGCAATTCATTACTACCATTAAGTGCTAGACTAAATACACGTCAGAATCTCATGCTGATGGATAGTATCCCAAAAAATTATCCGTTTCCTTTGTTAAAAACAAAACAAGCACAAAAGCTTGTGTTATTTCATTCATTTTGAACAATCTACTGTGGGAAATAGATGTGATTGAATTGGTTGCGTAATGATCACAGTCATTGCTCCATTTTTAAACTGTAAGTTTGGAAAAAAAGTAGACTTCACTTAGCATTTAACCAACATACAGTACTGAAATGTCATCAGTTTCTAAGTAACTGATTTAAATATTATTGTAAGCTTGTAAACAGGACATTTTATATACTGTATTTTTGGAAGTCACTGTTAGAATCACCTGGTCTTGTTACAAAGCATATTCTGTATGCACTAGCTCTGGTCAGGCATTTTCCGAGTTAAAAGAACATTTTCCAAGTGAGACCATTGCAGAGACTGGGTGTGATTTCAAAACGTTCAGGAGGGCTGTGTGGAGGATTTTCACAAAAATCACTCAGATTGCCTTCAAAAGCTTTCAACAGCCTGCTAAGCTGGCAAATAGGCTGCAGAGGTGGGTGTCTGAGGATTTTCAGGTTTCTCTTGGGCCCAGTAGCCAGGCCACTGAAAATCAAGGGCTTCCTTCAGCTCCTTGACTTCCTTACACCTGCTTAGACAACTAGCAGTACAAGAAACCTTAGGAGGGGAAAGCTGATAAATGATTTTTCTTATTTTCCTTGCTGGCTATCAATGAGCTGTAGAAATAAAACCTGACCAGAGTCTCCTGGTCAGATTAACAGAAACATAGTGGCATTCTTCTGTCCCAGGTCTTCGGTGGGCAGCAGGGAAACCAAGCTGAATTATACAGCACTTTTAATCAACAGCTGCCAGGACAGGGGTTTGCCATCTGGCAGGCAAAGACTACAGGCTGCTTATATGATTTGGGGAACTTCAAATTTCGTTCTTTCTCAATCAATATACATTTTCATTAAGACGTTTAGGGGCTTAAATTTTTTGGTCTTAATCTGGGACAAGATTTTTTTTTTTTTTTAGATTAATTTATTATGTGGAAAATTGGCCACTATTTATAAATTTAACCCCTGTGTATCCATTATTCAGAAGTAACATCATTCCTAGGAATCCTCACAGTTAAGAACAGGTCTACACACTGCTTCATAATTCACTCATCAGTCCTAAACATGTCTGTAATTTAAGAAATGATTTATTTTTTATGGTCATATCACAACAATCATCCCAATGTCATAACGTTTGGTTTTGTGAAAAGTTACTAAGGGTGTTTCTTTGATTTTGTGTGTTGTGGGTCTTGTCCATCCTTCTTCCCCCCAACTGTACTGTTGTGTCTTTGAAAATACAGTAAATCTTAAATTATTTTGGTAACACTTGGGAGAATATATAGTGACTCACTTAACTAATTATGAACCATTTCTTTCAGGATAAAAGAGGTATGGAAAATACATTATTAATATTTCTCCAATATTCATTAATGAATCTTCCAGTATACATTTAATAATAAATGGGCATTTACTGAGAGAAGTTCACTTCTAGTTTTAGAAAAAATGTTCATAAGAGAAAAGTAATAATGTATCTGCTAACATCACTTTCTTTATGTTAGAAAAATCCTTTTGCATTGTTCCTTAGTATTAGAACACTGCATATTTCAGAAAGTGAGAGTGTCTGTGAAGCAATACAAATAGGGTACTCTTGACATTAAAATAGGTTGCAGACCTGTAGACAAATCAAAAGAACTCTCTCTGAATTCCAAATTTTGTGCCCCAATCCTGGGGACAGGGGAAAGTCCCTCACTGACTTTAGTAATCATTAGATTTTGGCTTAATGCCCGCTTCAAGGGTTTGAGCACTCAGAATTGTAAAAATAATATACAGCATATCTACCTTTACAATATTATTTCACTGACCTTTAAAATGATTTCAGATGGGTCTGTTTTTTCAAAATTTGGAATACCCGCGCTGAAAATAATGAAAGTTATAGGAACATATTCTACATAAATATATAAATGTATTAACGTATAAACATAGAGCCTACCCTGCAGTAAGAATATTCTTAATTTCTGTGTAGGTAATGGAACTCAAAATACACCATTCTGCAGGTTCATAAATGCATTCAAGGTCAAGTGCAACATTTTAGTCATCAAATAAATATAAGTACTGAAGATACTTCTATCTTCTGCCTTGAAAAAAAAATCATCACTGGATTCAATTTTAAGAGAACAAGCATGATGTGATTTAAACTGTCTGGCTCAGAGTCTTCAGATTACCTTTCTTCTACTCTGGACAATAATTTTTCCATGGCAGCTAGATCATAAACTATATATTTTTCCTTTTGTATTTTACTCCCCATTTACTTGAGTACTTCATAACTCACTCTATATTTGTCTTGTGGAAGGCACATGTCATCAACATGCTAGAGATCACACTTGGGAATAGTGCATATATATTTCATGTGGCTATCTAAAATACACAACTCTCAAGCTTGCTGTGCTTTCTTCATGTTTTATAAATTCACTAATCCTGGTGTAAATACGTTTGCATACTACTAAGGTACTGGATTTTCCTTTGGACAGTCTACTGTCTGTCTTCTACAGAGAGAATATAGAGGATATATGTTTGATATTCTTTTAGGCTTAATTTTTTCTTTCTGCTTGAATCAACATTTTTAAGAAGACCAATACCTTTTCTAGAATAGATATTCAGAAAACTGGGTAATAATTAGATTCTTAAAAAAAAAAAAAAAATCCATCTCAATTAAAGAAAAAAAGTCACAGCTGGAGAAAGAAAACTTGCACACCAATTTTGGATGCAGGCGTGTTTCAGGTAAAAGAAGCTCAGAGTTGCCATG